TGATGAGAATGTGGAACAATAGGAACTCTCATTCACTGCTGGTGGAAAGGCAAAATGATACAGCCACCTTGGAAGACATTTAGTGGTTTCTTATGAAACTAAACATAACTCTTACCATATGATCCAGTAATCATGCTTCTTGGTATTTACCCAAAGGAGTTGAAACTTATGTCCACACAAACCTGCACATAAATGTTTACAGAAGCTTTATTCATAATTGCCAAAACTTGGAAGCTAGATGTTCTTCAGTAGGTGAATGTATAAACAAACTGTGATACATCTAGATAATGGAATATTATTCAGCACTAAAAAAGAAATGGACTATCAGGCCATGGAAAGACATGGGAGAAACATAAGTGCATAGTAATAAATTAAAGAAGCCAATCTAAAAAGGCTATCCATACCATATGATTCCAACTATGTGTCATTCTAGAAAAGGCTAAACTATGGAGACAATAAAAAATCAGTGGTTGCCAGGGGCGGGGATGGCAGGGGGAAAGAAATGAAGAGGCAGAGGAAAGAGGATATTTAGGGCAGTGAAAATAATCTGTTTGATGTTATAGTGATGGATATATGTCATTATACATTTTTCCAAACTCATAGAATGTACAACACCAAGAGTGAACCCTAATGTCAACTATGGACTTTGAGTGATAATGATGTGTTGATGTAGGTTCATCAGTTATAACAAATGTACTATCTGGTGGGCGAAGTTGATAACGGGGGGCTATGCATGTGTGAGGTCAGGGAGTCTATGGCAAATCTTTTTTACCGTCCCCTCAATTTTGCTGTGAACCTAAATCTGCTCTAAAAGAAGTCTTAAAAATGTGAGGTGTGAGGGACAAAAGTTGCCATCTTCATTTTAGAGGTCAGAGAGTTATATAAAATTAAGTTACTTGAAATAACCTTATGGATAATAAATGGAGTGGGATAGAAGGGCATTTCAGACAAAAGAAGTACTGGGGTCGAGGAGACATAGTTGCATAAAAGCGCAGGGCTTATTTAGGGAATGATTAGTTATCATGTTTCAAATAATGAAACAGATTGGTGAATTTTAGCTTTCGAAAATAGGTAACAAAATGGTTTGGAAGAGCTCCTCATGTTCCTCACCAAACAGTTCAGCTTTTGAGCCTGAATGATAAAGGATGTGGTGAGGCAGTAAACCTAGGTAGCATACATGGGGCGGAAACAATCCTGAATTTGCTGTTGGTGAACTGAACTCAATGAGAAATAGACTAAATTGCTGAAATCACTAACCTGATGTCTCTTTTTATTTTTTTCCTTTCTTTCATCACCTCCCCAAATAATTAATAACCAAATCAAGTAAATGGCCTATTTTCAACAACATTTGAGTCAATGTTCTCAGCTACAGAGATAATCACTTTCTCGAAACAGACTCTTATCATTGTCCATCTTGCATATATTGCGATACCCTTCTTACATGTCTCTTGCATCTTCTTCACCACCACAGAGAGATTTTTCTAAAATACAAATATGAGCCTTTTATTCCAATGCTTAAATGTTTCCACTGGCTCTCCCTGACTTTCAGGATTAAATGTTAACTTTCAAGGAGAAATGTTGTAGCATGGTTTGCAAAGCTCTTAATGATTAGGCTTTACTTTATCGCCAACTTCTCGACTTGCCATGTCCTCATTTGCACATTGCAACAAACCAAACAACCCACATTTCTCTCAACTTGTCACGCTTTTCATGTTGCTGATATTTGTTTTTGGATTAATTATCTCTTGTCTAAGATGTGTGTTTTCCCGTTTCTCTTTCATCTAAACTCTTCAACCAATTAGATCCAAAACACTGGAGTAATTTTAACTCTACCCTCTCCCTCATATTCCATTAAAAAAGCAGTCATTAAACCACATCTTTTCTAATGTCTTTATAAATCCCTTGAGCTAATTGTTTCATTTTCACTCTCACTAGTACGTGTTTATTTCAGTTCCATAACATCTAATATTTTATCAGTTGTAATTGTCCTAACTGGTCTAACAGGACCACCCACTCCACACAAATCTGACCACGGCAGCCCTCTGTATAAAGTTCAGCAGTGGTTCCCCTGGACTTGAAGCTCCTTACATGACCTACAAAGCCCTCCTACTCCAAGCCTTCCTGCTTTTCCTGCTGATCTCCCACACTCCTCCTCATGGATGTGGCAATCCAGCCACTCCAAACTTGTATATTTTAGTCTCTGCAACTCTTGCTCCTTATGCTTGAAATGCCTTCTCTTTATGCCTTCTCCTATACACATCTCACAGATTTAACATCTTCCTACATATGCCTTTATATGGTATAAAATCAACAGTGAATCGGAAGTGTGTGTATATCTATATTATGTATAACTTATATTGAGAATTATTTGTGATTTTTTTATAGTGAGCAGTATATTTTCCTACAAAGGAAGGCTAAATTTGTATTTTTAATGAATAAACCTACATTGAAATTTAGCAACTTTTGAAAATAATTTTCGTTGCCGAAGCAATGACCAAGAATCCTTAGAAAAATATAAAAAAATATTAAGCAGAGTGTGGAAACAATAATCTGAACTCAAAACTTCATATTATCTAACTCTTTAATAAGGTAACATTTTTTCAGCAGATATGTGTGTGTATACTAAGAATCATAATTTTGTCTGAGTATCCTCAAGACTGCTACAAATGTTAAGGTGTAATGTCTCACAACACTAAATAGATGGGTATGGAATCTAGTGATTTCAGAAAGATGAAACAAAAGACTTTTTTTTTTCTATTACTGTTTATCTCAAGTAAAAGAATTACATTTTCTAAAAGCTACAAATAAAAACAAAAGCACTCCAGTTCTTCATAAGTGCTTGATGAAACAATAAGTCCCTGTGGAGACATTCTCACTAAATACTTCCAAATATTGCAATCAAAACGACATATTAATGGATTATTCATCGGAAAATTATTCATAGAGCTCCAATGATATGTGAAAGTGTTTGGATCCCACGAGTTACTCCATAAATACTTGTTAAATCTGTAAAGTTTATTATTCTCATTTTCCTTTAAGGGAAAGTGAGGCACAGCTAAGTGGCCTAATTTGCCTAATACTGTCATTTATTCAATAGTCTATAGAGGCAGACATATGACCCAGACCATCACCCATCAGTCTTTTTAGTAAGAGGTCATATGTAAGCAAAAAAACAGCTCAACTACTTCACTTACATTCATGAAAGGGTTTCCATCAAGTCAACCTGAAAAGTTGAAACAGAATGTAAAAAGTAATATATATTAACATGTAAGCCTGGGTTTATAAAAAATTAGTCCCTCAGAATTAGTCTGTCTAGGAACTATGTAACATAAATCTGATTACATAGATGCAAATTTGATCTACTGTATTAACTTGAATCAGCAAAAAATATTAAGCTGCTATGATTCATTTAAAGCAGAGAGAAAAATATGTTCAAGACATGTTTTAATTTATGGTACATGAAGCAATGGTTATGATAATCAGAGAGCGGAAAGAAATGTATGTCCCTAAACTCAAATTAGTTCTCATTTTTTGGGAAAGGGTGAACCTCTGTCTGGATATTTTAAATGTCTCACTCACTACGAAATACCAAAATCAAAGCTAAGAAAGTCATGTAAAGTTATAATATTCTTTTCATGCTATGCATATTTTTTCTTGTCACAAATTCAAAGGAACATTATTTCAAAGAAATAGACAATAATTGTACTTCCTAAAGGCTTTTCATGTATTTTTCAGATAAAACAAAAAAGTATATTGAACACTTCCCTGTTATCAGATGAAAGAGCTTGGGCAAGGATATGAGTGCAAATTTCTCTTAAAATATTAATATTTAGATGAAGAGTCCCTTACAATCGAAAGGCTTTACCATGGACTAGTTTTATGGGAAGGGAGTGTGCCACAGGCCATATGCTCTGTGGGGGGTCCTTTGTTTGGGGAAGTGAAATCATGTCTAATATCCACAAATACCTAGTTACAAAACTCAGAAGAGACAGGAAAGGCATTTATTTGGATAAAAATACAGGATTTTTTACAATTTACATAGCCTTTGCTACTGAGCTATGGAATTTTTCTATTGTTTCATGGTTCGCTGAGATTTAAATATAGTTTGTGTATCTACTAAAGTGTATTGTGTTGCACAACAGAGTAATTCTCAAGCGTGAGGCGTTTAGCTAGTTTCCATTGATTTGGGGATTTTTATCTATTCCTGTCCATTAAGCTTATATCTAAATATATAAGAACTTGATACAGAAAAAAAATATGTCATTAAAACTGTAAGGAGCTGCTTTAAATTCAATAGCACTTTGGTAAACAATAGCACTTTGGTAAACAATTTAATTTTCTCTAACAACAAGTCAACAAAAGACCATAGGGTTATTTAGACTGGCCATTGCATTTTAAAGACAAGTTTGGATGTTATTGAAATGCACAACATTCCTATGAACTTAGAGGGTGAAAATTTAGACCCGAAGAGAAGCTCTGAAACTCTTGTCCCAAGCCATCTTTGAGAAGGTGAATAACTGAGATTGAAAGTGGTTTAACAACTGACAAAATGCTGCAACTCATAACATCAAGTGATTTTTTAAATGATGTTTAATATTTGTGCGGTTTTTTGTGATCTCTCCTTTGTAAATCAGAAAATGCTTTGAAAAATGTCCAGAGGAGATGACAATAGCCAAAATAATAGATAAACTTCTATGTATAATTTTACAGTAAACTGGGAAAAGAATCTTTCTAAAATGTTTTAGATATTCTTCTAAAGCCTCCCTAAATTTATCTGAAATTCAAGATGCTTTCTAGTAATTCAAAATTGTATGTTGCCTGAGTTCATCTTTAGTGTTCCATTTAAAAACAGAGATATTTGTAAAGAAAAGTAGGCAAATGTGAATTTGAAGCTGTATTCTCATTGTTTGAAAGAAGAGTTTTTCAACAGATACTATTTCAAGTTAAAAATAGATTAATGAGATGACGTTTTGATCTGATTTGTTCTGACATGTCCGCAGGCAGAATGCTTTTCAAGTCATTGCTGTGGACGGGGTCTGCAGTGGGATTATTCAGTGCCTCTCTGCTGAAGACTGTATTGACTGGCTACAAGCAATAGCAACTAATATTTCAAACCTCACAAAGCACAATGTAAGTAGTGATTCAAGGAATACCTGGCCATAGAGTCTCTCAGTCTTGGTAAATTTCTTCAGTATATATATACCTAACTTTGCATCAACTGCTTGGTGTTTATCTAAGAACATCCATCATGAAAGCTATTCTAGAATACTTATTGAAAGAAAATCACTTTATCCTGAGTGTTTTAGCCCAATTTATCAGTTCAAGAATACTTTCAAATGTAGGTTTCCATTCACAAACATCCTAAACATATACATTAATTAAATAAGTGAAAATATATATTTAACATGTAACCACTAAATATGTATGTATAAAAGCATTCTGGACTAAAACAGTACTGAGTTCAAGAGAGCATTATCAGTTTTCCCTTAGTGATTTTAGAATTGCAGCTAGACATGTCTGAAGGGGTGGGCAGGGAGGGTGAAAGGAGTTAGCACAGAGATTGAAGGCCTTACCTGGGACTACGCTGGTACAGGAACAGTCAGAAGATATCATTGTGGGGTCCGGTAACTCCAACATTAGAGCTATGTCTCTATTGTTAGTAACGGCTTCTCTACTTTTTCTCCTTCTACTCAACCTTTTCTCCCTTCCCCTCCTCTCTCTTTATTATCACTATCCTCTCGTTATCACTATTCTTTAATAAGCTAATCAACCCTTTCTCCCATTACTTCCAGGGAAAGTATAGTCTAACAAAATATGCAAAACCGTAAACCTCCTTCATTGAGTATTGATATAGATCATTAAAGATTATTTGACCTTAACTAAAGATTATTCTGTTTAAAAAAATGCTAGATATCATCCATGCCTTTGTCTTAATATTATCCTCTGTCTACAACTGTTGCCTGCCATGTTGGAGTATTTGAGAAGTCCTGAGGAAAATTCGGAGGTCTAATGTACAAACGGTCAAGCAGAAATACGTAACTCTTTCATTGACTTGTGAACATGTAAAACTGTCCTCACATAAATAACCCTCCAGACCCAAATATCTTTGCACAGATTTTGCTTTGAAATCTAAGAAAGAGTATGGCAAATAGTTTTCTCTTAAAAACAGTAGGACTGTCAGCCATTAAAGACAACAGTACTGTCATAAATAGTAGTGCAGAAATCTCCTACGTGGATGTCGAAGGGATTATCTGGGAGTGGAATCGATAGGCATGGGATATGTACATGTTCACTTTTTCCCAGTAATGCCAAATGTTTTCCAAGTGGCC